TGTTGCCAGGATCTTCAGGGTGCCGCCAGGGTGCCGCCAGCTCAAGTGCAAGGTCTCCCCCGCTGAGAGTCGCTTTTCTGGCCCCTGCTGTAGGTGAGAAGGGGGAGGAAGGGAAATACCAAGGAGACTGATTTTAGGAGGCTAAATGGCTGTGGTGGAGGTTGGAATCTAATTCAAAACAAATCTAGCTTTATCTCACACCATAAGTTATTATTCAGTTATGCTATAATTAGGCATCAGAACAGGGTTCTGAGACCTCTGGCTGGTCTGGAAAGGGTTGCAGAGGCTTGGCAGGGACCCTTTGAGTTGCCTATGGACAAATCGAGTCAAAATGAAGATTCAAGAAACAGAAACTGGCTGATTTAAGTTAAAAAAAGGGGGCGGGGATTTATTAATAGAGTATAGAAGAGTTCCTTAAATAACTGGGAGGATGAGAGCAAGCCAGCTTGGAGGCTGTATAGTCAGGAACAATACCTCAAATTATGGCACATGGCAGTGCTTATGAAGACACCCCAGCTGCTTCATCTGGGTACCGTCGCTGCTGATTCTGTGGCTAATACCACTGGTTTGGTATTCTTCTTGCTGCTTCTTACAGCTAGAAATCAGGTGGAGCTGCTGCTGGGCCACTTACCCAAATGCATTATGTGTGCTTCCCAGTTTTTCATCTTCCCAACTTCCAGTGGAGCCTTGGTCGTGTGGCAATACCCTAGTTGAAAAGGGAGCTGGAAGCAAATGCCTGACATTTTCCAGCTTCTACTGTGGAGGAAGAGTCTAAAGTGGGAGATTCCTGGGGCGCCTGGGTGGCTCAGTGGGTTGAGCGTTGGACTTCAGCTCAGGTCATGATCTCGTGGTTTGTGAGTTGGAGCCCCACATTGGGCTCTTTGCATGGAGCCTGCTTCAGATTCTCTGTCCCCCTCTCTCTCTGCCCCTCCCCTATTCATTCTCTCTCAAAATGAGTAAATAAGCTTTTAAAAAATAAATAAATAGGGGTGCCTGTGGCTCAGTTGGTTAAGCATCTGACTTCACCTCAGGTCACGATCTCGCGGTCCGTGAGTTTGAGCCCCGCGTCGGGCTCTGGGCTGACAGCTCAGAGCCTGGAGCCTGCTTCAGATTCTGTGTCTCCCTCTCTCTCTGCTCCTCCCCTGTTCATGCTCAGTCTCTGTCTCTCAAAAATAAATACACGTTTAAAAAACTTTTAAAAAAATGAAGTGGGAGATTCCCCAAATATGGGAAGATGGTTCAGAAGTTAGGTAGCCAAAAACAAGGAAGCCTTGAAGAGGACGGATATACAGAAAATGGCACATTCTGAGGCTAGCAATCTGGTGGCAAAGGG